GGTCTCCAGGAGAGATGGGGGGCTCTGGATGAGGGGGTGCAGGGATAGAACGAGGGGGAATGGTTTGAAGCTGAAAGAGGGGAGATTTAGATCAGACATTAGGAAGAAATTTTTCCCTGTGCGGGGGTTGAGGCAGTGGCCCAGGGTGCCCAGAGAAGCTGTGGATGCCCCATCCCTGGAGGGGTTCAAGGCCAGGCTGGATGAGGCTTTGGACAACCTGGGCTGGTGGGAGGTGTCCCTGCCCATGGCAGGGGGTGGAACCAGATGGTCTTGAAGGTCCCTTCCAACCCAAACCATTCTGTGATTCCACTATATTCCATGATTCCATGAAGGTATGCCACAGGGGATGCCGTAGGATACGCATGAGGGTATACAATAGGGTATGCAACACACGGCCCTTCTCCACTTGCTCAAGGCATTCCCAACCACCGGGATGTACCCGGCGCTGGCTCTGGCTGGAGGCCGGCGTGTGCTCCTCCGCCGGCTCCACTGCTCTCCGTCGATGTGTGCATTTCATGGTGGTGTGTTTTTTTTTTTTCTTATTAAAAGAAGGTATCAGCCTTCTGTTTGATGTGTTGTTGGGTGCGGTTGCTAAGGGGAGCAGTGTACGATTACAGCCCCAGTGATGTCCACTCTAAGAATACCCTTGGCTCTGCATAGCTCAGCTGCAGACACAGCTCTGCTATAAAGAGCACAGCCCATTTCAACAGAGGAATACTCCAACTTATGTTACATGGGAAGGGTTTGTGGCACGTTGCTCAACACCACTCCCCCTGAAAAAAAAAAAAAAGGCACCCAAGCCAGGACCAGCCAGCGAGTAAAACTATGGCAAGCAAACTTTTACTTTCGATTTATTAATCAAGATGGTATTTCTAGATGGGTGAAGAAACCACCCATGTATCCACCAAGATGTTCTTGCACGCCTCCATCCACCCAGCTCCCTGGGCACAACTCAGTCAGGTCCATCCCAAGGGCCAATGCAGCCCAAAATCCCTCTTTGTACCAAACACCAACCCAACCTCCACAAGCAGAAAATCAAATGACTTACCCTAGTGCCAAGCCCCCAAATGGCAGCATCTCCTCCAAATCCCAGATGGCGGCATCTCCCCCAGTACAACCAGCCGCCCACCCCATGACTGCCCTTTCCACGTCTCCCTTCAGCACCCTGAAAGCTTCACAGCACCCAAATTCAAAACTCTGCCAAGATATGGGACCAAAACACAGCACGAGGGATAAATTCCAAACAGAATTTTCCCGGTAGATCCTGAAATGGTGCAATGTCAGCCAGGGGGATGCTCTAGAGGAGCTGCTGGCAGGGAGGCGGATAACACAACAGCATTCCCGTGACGTGGTGCTGGAATCTGTTTTGGGATCAAAACAAGTCCCATGAGATAAGCTGTGAATGTGTGCAGCTTCTGTCCTGCGGGAAAACCCTTTGCTGCTTGTTTCAAGGTCCATCAGGATATAGGGATGCTGTCTATAGGTACGGGGATGCTGGTAGGGCAGCTCAATGGGTTAATGAACTCATTTATGGGATCCTCCAGTGGGGTTGAGCCGTTGCCATTGCTGTCCAAAGAGAAAGGGACAAACAAGGCTCCTACAAAACAAGAGCATCTGCTGGGAGCAGATGGGGGGGCAAGTGATCCGGCCCCAGGCGCCAGCAGTGCTGGGAGGAGGGGAAGGGGGATCACGTTGATCCCAATTTATCACACCCCGGCAAAGTAATTCCCCAGCTTGCTGGTGCCCAGCGAGCCGAGCTCCTTACGTCCAGGGATCAGATTAGTCTGAAAGGTGCTAGAGAGACATAAATCCAGCTCTGGAGCAAGCGTTTTATTGAAGGGTTGGTTTTGTTTTTTTTTTTTTTTAATTAATGGTAAATTACCTAGAAATGGCTGATGGAAAACATCTGGTTGTGGAGGAGCCAGGACTGGAGCTGGGTTATGTTATATCATCAAACGTATATCAATTCATCATATTGATATTGATATATCTCAATATATTGATATTGATAGCTCAACACAGCATCATTAACCATATCATACTGATACATTAATATATCAAGGTATCACCCATATTACTCCATAATATTCATATATTATCCAATATACCATATTGATATAGAGAATATATCATATATCAATACCATCAACCCCTTTATTTCACATCAAGGCAGCTGCAACGAGTCTTTTATGCTTGGCTCTGGCTCCAGCCAGGGCTATCAAGCCTAAACACATCCCCCAAAAAATCCCAGTTTTGGGCTGACCAAAGTATTTCATGAATCATGTGAATGCACCCGATTATTTTGGTTGGAGAAAACTCCTGTGCTTGCAAAAAGTCTAAATCCTTTCCTACCAGAAAGGAAATGTTCAATTATTTAATTTCACTTTGCTTTTGACCTGTAATGATCCGTTACCTTTTGCCCCATCAACACTTTTTTAAAAGATGTGCATTTTGAGGCTGAGCAAATCCCTTCTGAATCTTTTTTTATGCTCTCGCACATTAAATCAGTCACCTGCACACCCTGCTCACTCTTTATACTTCCTTTCTTTTCAGCTTTCCACAGCAGATAGCATGTTCCCATTGCACTGAGACTGGTTACACGTTCCTGGGAAGCACTTTGGAACTCTCTGGAGATACAAGATACATTATTTATCCTACATTCATGCTATGAAGAGCTGAATATGAATCCAGTTATTATAATAAATCAGCCTACTGGGTCTGCTTGTAAGGGTGGAAATGCTGGTGCAAGAGAAGAAAGCAAGTTGGAAGAGTCCTCCCCAACCCAGAAGGACTATCATCATCCTCAATTTTTGGATAACAACCTGCTGCTCCCTCCTCATCACTCCTGGACTTTACTTTGGATTTCTTAGCATCATGCAGCCAAACAAGGCAAGAAGGGCAAGAAGATGTGTCAGAAACTGGAGTGAAGCTGGGCACCAGAGAACAGAGAAATGAAACGAGAGCTTTGTAGGCGTCGCAGATGACGTGTGCATGATGGAAAGGCCAAATGGAAACGCATCTGAAATTAAGGATGGAAATTTATGGTTTCAGCTCTACATGTCGTGTGTCCAGAGAGGCATAAAAGACATAGAGGTCCATGTGACACTGTCCCCAGAAATCAACGCCTTTGATGGTGGCACTACAGTCAAACACACTCCCACCAGCACACGCTGGGCAGTTGTGGACAGTCCTGTTTCCACATCATCCACCATTATCACTGACCACTTATATCAGAGCCACTGCTTTTTTCTCCCCACTAACTTTGCCGTTGCTGACGGTTTTGGAGTAGAACAATCAACCACTATACCAGTTAACGAGTCCCTCAGAATAATTAGCAAATACAAATAATTTCTGTCTGGGTTGCAATCAGAAACCAGGAGCGAGCACCTTCACCCAGGTGATCCAACCAACAGACCATGACTTAACTTGATATCTTTGGAGTTGAGGACTTAGCCAAAAAGAGCAGCAAAGACCCTCCACTGCAAGACCCTCCAAGTTTACTTCTCTTCATGCCATGAGGATGCTGCCACAAGCAACCCACTTATTCCACGGATCTGGAGTGAAATACTATATTTCCATGTACAGCTCAGAATTTCAGCTCATTACCTGCAACATGTTGAGGAGCAAACTCCGGAATTTGGTTCCTTCCACCATGAAGAGGGCCATTTTGTCACAGAGCTTGGCTGCCGTGGAAGCAAAGCTGCGATCCGTCACTGCCTTCTGGTAAATGGTCTTGACTATCTCTCCCAACATCTCCTCAGAGTTAGTAGAGTTCTGAGCCTCCTCCATGAAGTTGGTGAGCTTGGAGTCAACGTCGCTGCTGTTGTTCCTCATGCTGTTGAGGATTTCAATTAATTTGTCCATTTTGTTCTTTTCAGGATTGGTGGTTTCCACCGTGACTTCGTCCTGGTCCGTGAAAAGGGAAAGACAAGGCGTCTGTTACACAAGGAGAAAACAGACATTATCAGCCCTTGTCCTTCCACAAGCAGCAAAGGGGGAAGGGAATTGGGAAGACATAGAAAACAAACAAAGAACAGACACAGAAAAATCAAAGCATCTTTTAGAAGTACAATGGTCTCATCTCACCAACCACCCCCCTCCACCCTGGGCTCAGGGAGAAGATCTGCTCTAAGGTCCTGAGCCAGGACATCAAGTTCTGACCACCCCACACTGCCTTGTGCATCTTGGACAGGTTTCTGGGTGTGTCTGCAACATGGTGATAACGCATATTTTTTGCCTCTGTTTAGAAAGTGTTTGCAAAATGCTCAGATAAGAATCCTACAAAAATATATCTACTTTTTAATATATATTTAACGATCTAAATTGAGATAAAAGATATCACATTATCCCAGCATTAGAAAAACTCGTAACTTTGCCATCTCCTGGCTGTTACACTTTTCACTTCACGTCATGACCACAGAATTTCTTTTTCAACATTTAATTAAGCATTTGCCCCTTTCCCCCAGCATAAGGCACAGACCCATGGTCTGCTCCCTTCTCGTCCTCTGGTTCAATCTTAAAATGTGCTATCTAATACAAACCTGTAGCAACTTTTGGGACAACCCCAATGTAAGCTGGTGGTTGGAGTTGTCCAAAAATTCCATCAGGAGACCAGTTGTGTTGCTTACACCCACCCAAGAGTGGGTGCTTATGTGATATCTTTCTTATAAGACTATAAACTCGCAGGAAGAACATTAAAATGAATCTTCTGAAAGTCTCTGCTATACTCCCATTTCTTTAAAGAACATAAAAATAACTAACAAAATCTCTTCCTCCCCCTTATGCCCCATACATAAATAGTAAATGCACAGGCATTCAAAGGTATACATTTCCAACACGCATTCCCATGGAATTGTATATGTTCAGGTTATTTTTGTGCCACGTTTTGGAAATCTCATTGGAGATATCCCCCCACAGACGCATTTTCCAGCCTATCTAAAGAATCTCAAAAGAAAGAATCTGAGTTTCACAGGGGGTGAATGAAGATATCATCTCCAAATTCCTCAGAAATGCGAGTCTGGATATTGTTTCCAAAAAGGATTTCTCCTCTGTCACTTGCATGCAATGGTTTTGTTATTGTTGGGTTGTTGGAAGGAAGGAGGAAGGATAAGGGCATTTCAATTCATTGCTGAGATAAATGGATATCAACTTTTAAGTAGCTGACTCCAACTATTCAGCGCTCAAAAGTCAAAGCTTGGGATTTAGCTCTCTAATTGTGGAGAACCAAATTACCTTTTTTAGACTTCTTTACAAAGTGGATGAGCTCTGCAGACTGGGAGGCAGTCAGTTGGGATCAGCCATCGGGGAAGAAGCGCCCACATCGCAGTTCATGTGTGCACCAGCCTTCCCCAAAGGTCTGCGTGGGTAGGGGGAGAGTTCACAGAAGTTCTTGGAGAACTCAAACTGGTAGCGACCTCAACCAAGAAGTCAAGCTAAGAATCTTAACGTTGTGTCAATAAACGGCCTCCCGAAGAAGTACAAAGACACTTCAAGAGAAGTTTTGACATTGGGAGGTTGAGATAAGTTGGGTGCTTTCATGGAAAGGTTCCTTAAGCCCACCCCACCCTCTGTATGGAGAATGGCCAACAGCCAAACTCTTGGAAAAGGGAAACTCAATGTTTCCCTAAGAAATAATACCTTTTCTTTTAGTCTCCTCCGCAGTCTGTCTTTGGAAGACTGAAGCAAATTGATCTTGGGTCTTTCCCCAATGCGCTCATGAATACTGTCTTTCCGCTTGGTCTCCGACTCCTGGATGTACTGCTGAGACTGCTTCTCCACAGCCTCCGGGCCTCGGTGCGTCTCCACGGGAATATGCACTGTGCAGATGGAGGTGTCCTCAATTTTCAAATTCTCAGTCTCTTTGGCGTTTCTGTGCGTTTCTTTGTCGTTGGGCGAGTGCTTCTGGTTGTGGTGCCATCTCCGGTTCTGGCTGTAGCCGTGGTGGCCCGTCCTGCCGGAGGAGTGAGGGGCCTGGCCTCCTTGGTAGAGTTTCTGGTGGTCCCTGTTGTGTTTGGTGCCACCTTGTTGATGATCTGCGTGCTGCTGAGGCTTGTTCCCACCAGGAACTCTCTGCTGTCTCCTGGAAAATCAAAGGAATTTGTTAGTACACCCTTTCCTATGTAGTCCTGATTGGTCAACACATCTTCTGTCCTACCAAACAGCCTGACTACTGGTGGGTGGTCTCCACCCAAAAGGGGAGCCTATTTCTTGGCATCTAATACAACTTAGTACCAACTCATGCCTCTAAATCTCTAAAAATAACAAGCATATTGCAGCTGAAAGTTTTCATGGACAGTTAGATAACACGTCGTTGGTTCCCAGGAAAACTTCTGCCATGTTTTCTGCGTTGCTTCCACACTAGAGCAGGGAAGACCTGGTTAGTCCCAGCTCAGCAGCAGGAAGTCAGGCACGAAATATCAGGAGATTTTTTTTTTTTTTTCTGAAGACCTAAGGAGCTCCCAAGCATCACTTGTTCCTCTTGCTTGCCACCTCTGCTGTACCAAGACAGCACACAACTGTGTTGGTTTGCAGGGCACCATTTTAGGCATATCAAGAAATTCTAAGTGGAAAAAAAAAAAAGGCTAAAAACCAAATTATTGAGTAAAAGAGGTGCCCATGCCAAATGGTTTTGTTTGGCCTTTCTTCATGCATGTCCCTCATCGTTGCTATGCTGGGAGAAGATGCATGTGTGGATGAAGAAGCTGAGGACCACGCTTGGCCAAGACCATTACCTCCAGATAGGAGGCTGGGTGAATATGGCTCCAAGCAGATAACACGGAAATTCAACAGGCACAAAGAGGAAGAATTGCCCACAAACGGTTTGCTTGAGACACTACAGCAGCTCAGAAGGATTGAACAAGCCCCTGCGTGCTGGCCATAAGTGGTAGCCAAGATGGCAGTTCTCCAAAAAAACAGTGGTTGAACAGAAGAAATGCTTTAGCAGCCTCAGACATTTCAGATTTCCGCACGGGCTGTGGTGTGGCTCTCCCCAGCGGAGAAGGCTGAGCCATCATCAAGGATGCAATTAAGATGGAGATGGTTCCGGCGCTGGCTGCCTTCGCCTGGGACCATGCAGGGTTAGTCCTAAGCCCGACTTCCCCCTGCTCAGCCTCATCCCTTACCCAAAACCTCTGCCTTCACTCGGATAAATAGCAGCGTTTATTTTAAACTCATCACAGAGCAATTTATTTTATTTTCATCATCCGCACCGCTTGGCTAAATCCATTCGGACGAAGGATGCGGCCATTCACAAATCCATTTCAATGGTCAGCGGCTAAACAGTCTCCAACCCTGCCTGCCAAAACCACCTGCCCATCAAATCTGTACTCCTTGGCATCCCCAGGAGTTAAAACCTATTTTCCGAAGCCAACTGGCTCTTGACCACAAAGAACGAGGGCTCATGTTTGGTGAACATAGGACGAAGAGGCTCGTTCCTGGTGGCAGTGGAAGGAATTTGTGTTTAGTCTCAGACCACCACCGGATCCAGTTTTTCTGAGATATTCAACATGGTTTTTGGTGTGGGTTTTTTTGGGGTTTTTTTGTTTTTTTTTTTTCCTTGATGAATGGCAAGGAATTAAAAAAAAAAGGGGGGGGTTGGGGGAAGCTTTCCTGTTTTCTGGAGCTTACAAGCATTTTATGAGTACAGATTCTCCACATCAAGTTTTCCTGGCATTTCTTTGTTTCCTCTCCGTAACGCAATCACATAAACCGCTTTTGTAAAGAGCAACGCTTATTAAAAGGGGAATGTCAAAATAAAAGTTAGTTAAACCCCTTATCTAGGACCAAGCCCTCACATGCTTAAGTGTGCAAAGAGTTTTGCTGATTTAATTCAGCCTTTGCTTTCTGTGGTTTTGCTCTCCTCTGTCCTCGGAGTTTAACTGTTTGGGGGCACTTGCAGCCTTGGGTTGTAAGTCAGACAGGCTGCTACTGTGTTTAAGTTGTGAATATTGCACAGAAATGTCAAACATTGCACACAGAAAATGCTTTAGTTTAAGCAGAATTAAGGAAAAATGTCTGGAAATAAGCTGTGAACCAACTTGTGCTGTAAATTCCTGCAAGAAATGCATGCAGGGACATTTTTTTTTTTTTCTAAAGACATAATGATATTACAAACCACAGTGTTTCTGCTTAAGGGCTGTGAAAGAAAAAAAAAAGATTTAAGATTTAAAAAATAATAAAACAACACTTAAGCCAGTGTGGAATGTGCAAGATTGTTCAGTTTGGGGGTTTTGCAATGAGACAGGGAGAGGACAGGCAGCTCCGTCCCCGTACAGGACAGGGAAAAGGCAACATCCCCCTGGCAAGGGGCAGAGCAAACACAAACCAAAGCTCTGCAGTCCCTGACCACAGGATAGAAAACACTAGAGTTAAACCAGTTAGGAAGAAAAGAAAAAAAAAAAGGCAAGTAATAAAAAGGCAAAGGAAGAAGAATGGCAAACAAGAAGCAATGTCCGTGACTTGGCAGCAGCCCGGAGTCTAGAGGATCATCCAGCATTCAGGCAAAGACTCGGCGTGTGCTTTTATCTTCCCAACAGCCCAGCGAAGAAGAAAAAGCCAAGAAGAAATAAGACTCTGCAGCAAAGAAGAGCCAAAGCAGGGAAAAACGGGGCCCAGATCTTAGAAACTTATTTTCCTGCACAGCATCGCAAAGCTGGGGAGGTTGGGATGTCCCATCCTTGTTCTTGGGTGTGACCAAGGTGCTGGGGACATAGAGAGCTCCAGGAAGGAGCAAGATGGGAACCAGGGCACCCACCACGGGTTGAGTTGATGGAAACAACCTCATGCTTGCTCAAGGGCAGGAGGGCAGGTGGCAAGAAGGTGATTTGAGGTGGCCTGCTGAGCTTGGGGAACCAGGTAAGAACCCAAAGGCATCTCCCAGCTCAGGGTTTTAGGCTTGTGATGCTGAAGGGAGGAATAGTGGAAGCTTGAACCACAGAGAAGCGTCTCTCAGAAAAAAGAATTCACTCCAGAAAAATGTCGCTGCTAACGGGGAAATCCTTCTTCTGTCCCTCTCTGCTCATCCTTTGCTGTAAGGACACGGACTTAGAATAGAATCATAGAATCATTAAGGTTGGAAAAGACCTCAAGGCTCCTCAAGTCCAACCATCAACCCAACACCACCCAGCCCACTAACCCATGTCCCTAAGCACCACATCTACACGTTTCTTGAACCCCTCCGGGGATGGTGACTCCACCACTTCCCTGGGCAGCCTGTTCCAATGCCTGAGCACTCTTTCAGTGAAGACATTTTTCCTAATATCCAGCCTAAACCTCGCCTGGTGCAACTTGAGGCCATTTCCCTTGTAGCTTCAGCTACAAGAAAAAGTACCTAGAAAGCACACCGGTCTCTTACCTCTGTTTAATGTTAAATAACTATTTTCACTTCAAAGCCCAAATTCAACTCAAAACTCCCCCTGACTTCGGCGGGATCAGGGATTTGACCGTCGGTCAACATGGAAACTTAAAGACTAACATTCAGACTTACAAAGAAACTGCAGAAGAATGAAAAAAAACAAGGGGAGACAGGGTTACCAAGCTGCAAATAAGACGGTATTGCTTGTGTTATCGTTTCTCCACTGATTTTTAAATTTAATTAACAAAATAAGACAACTTTCAACAGAATTTCGATCTGACAAACGTCTGCTCTGTTGGAGAGGTCTATGCAAACAAATCTAAGGCTTCAGCTGTCTCGGTGATTATCAGCCTACGTACTCAGAAATACAGGGTTCCTGCAAGTTTTTACTACATCCCAAAGAAAGGGGCTGGAAGGCACAAGGCTGGGGAAAATAACTCCAGACACGTGGACAGCTGTGGTCTAAAACACAGTTGCTCCGTCCCATCAGCCCTGCTCAGATCCTCCCGAGTGAGACTAGTCTTCCAAGAGCCCCCACCATCTGTCTGGCATGTGGAGAGCCGGAGGACAACACGGGGTTACATTCTCCTGGTGTTTGCAAATCTCCTGGAGATTTTCTTGCAAATACAGAGACATAAGGAGCTATATCTCCAATGGCACTCAAGACATTTACCCCGTGGTGCAGAGCATCCTGTATGGACAAAAAGATTGAAATACTGTCCGTGGGCTCAGGGAGTGGGTGGTCTTCGCTCTTGATTTTGAAGAACCTGCTTGGACACCGCACTTGTCCTCAATCCCAGGCAACTCTCCCATGGGACAAACCTTCCTGGGCACGCTAAGCTCCTTGCAGGGGAAGGATGCTGGTTTTGTCCTGCTTTTGTGCAGAGCCTGACACCTGGTGGGCATGGACAAGGCAACCCAGCAATTAACTACTGATATGGACTTGTAGCCACTTGGGCAAGAAGTTGAGAATGAAGAGCAGTGCCATGGCCAAGGTCAAACCTTCTGCTGCGTTCCCTTCATCCCTCTGGTGAACAAAAACATTCCTCATTGCATTTTGTGGACAGAAAGGTTCTCTCCATCCTTTCTTCTACCCAGGCAGGATCTCATCTCCATTCCTAGTCCAGGAATACTATGCTAAGTCTTGGAAGCATCTCATGATCAGCTTTGCTACTACCATGCCTTCAATTAATTAGAAATTGCTTTTACAAGGGATAAATTAAGAAATGGATTCTGTGGGACCTTCCACCCCCATGAGGACCCCAGGTTCTACTTGTCCATGGCACCTCCCAAAGCTGGAGGAGCAGAGCACCCCTGAGGCACACAGCACCTGCAAAGGGAGGACTAGTGGTCCTGGCTATGCGGGATGAAGGGCCACCTTGATGGTCAAAACCGCCCATCATCACTGCCTTTGGGCACCTAAGGGACATCATGGCCCAGACTGGATCCCAGTTAGGAGCTGGTGGAATTTTACAGCATTTAAAACTGGTCCTGGAGGTCTAACGCTGCACTGGGAAGTCAACAGGAATATTGCTGTTAATACGAGGATGAAGGTCTGAATTTCTATCTTAGAGGTCTGATGCCCCCCAAAAGTATTCCTCACCAAGCCTACGTCCATCAAAGGCACCTTATGTGCGTGTGTAATGACAGCTCAGCATTGCTTTAGCATAGGGAGTGTCACAGCCCTGCCACAGCCATTTTCTATCCTCGCTATGACTGAGAAGGGG